AAAATATTTTATTTATTGATTTTAAGTTAAAATATAAAAATAAACTATAATAAATTATTTTAAAATTTAATTAAATATCAAAAGTATTCTTAGTATAATAAAAATACTAAAATTGAAATTCACATTAGAATAATTTAAAATTACTTTTTTTTTGTATATTGATTATTTAATTTAAGAGTATTTCCTCGGTGTACTTAATTTTACTTTGTGCATTTAGTTATAGATTGATTTTTTTTTTGATGTCGTAGTTATAGATTGAATTTTATTTATTATAAATCATATATTAAATAAAAATAAAACACGTATTATACAATTTATACCGTCTTTTATATTTGTAGAAAAAATAAAAAAAAATTATTTCGATTTTCACCTTTTAAATCTATTTTATCCTTTTATGCATATTATAAATGGTTTTATTCTTTTTTTATTTTCTATTTAATATTTATTCTCTCATTTATTTTTCTTTTGACTTTTTATGTGGCTAAATTTGTAACGACCCGGCTGGTCACTACACACGGCACAGCACACCGGAATCATCAGACAGAAAAGAATAAGTATATAAATATAAAATCTAGAATATATATATATATATGCCAGCTGTAGACCTTCCTCAGCAAACACCAACATAATCCTGCACTGCTCCTATACATAGTATGATCATTGCAGTCCAAACCACATGGAAACAACAAAAGGTAAGCTAGTGAAAAAAAGAATCAGCATGCATATAAAAAATATATGAATGATAAGCAACTACAGCTATCAGCACATCAGTCAGCTAAACAACATCAGCTTTAAATATCACAGCATTCAGCAATAACAGCACCGACTTAGCGGCTATAACAGCACCACAATAGTGGCTAATAACAGCACCGACATAGCGGCTATAATAGTACCACAATAGTGGCTAATAACAGCACCGACATAGCGGCTATAATAGCATACAACTCAGCATTAAACAGCACAGCAAAATTAGCATACAGCATAGCCAAACCACAGCTCACAGCACAACTTAAACATCCTACTTCATCAATACATCTCACAGCACAGCATATTCATCAATTCCAGCTCATACTTAGCATAAATCAACACTTGACAGCATATAGTGAAATCTCATTTCCGCGCCCAGCGCACTCATGGTTGCGCCCAGCGCGGTACAACTAGAGAGCACCAGGGGACCAGCGCGCCCAGCGCAAGCGTGCCCGCGCCTGGCGTGACCCAGCCAGAGAGCCCAAAGCTCACATGCGCCTAGCGCAATTCCAATTGCGCCCAGCGCACCCAGGCAGAGACTCTAAGGAGTCTCACGCGCCCGA